TGGGAGTTTGTTCCTCTTCTGCCGCTCCAGTCAGAATTCTCAGGCACCTTGACCAGCGTTTGGATGGACTACTTTCCTTTCTGCTGCCGCCATCCCACCTGCGGCCTCCATCACCAAGGTGTTGTGTGTGTGATCTCAGCACTTTCTTGCTTCTCCTAAAGGCGATTGCCCATCCACTATCAGCATCTTTCTTTTTTTCATTATCATCGTCATCAATATAGTATCAATCATCTTTATTACCACCTACACCATCAACCGGCATCATCACTACCACAACAAGACAATCCTCGTCACTACCACCATCAACTATAGCTTCATTAAATCCGCATCATACAGGAAGCTGGCAGTTGGTAGGGTATTTAAAACCTAAATAAGGACAATTTAAAACAACTTATACAGCCTATGGAAGAATAGTTCTTGAATACGCTGCACTGGCATGGAACCTCGCACCTTGTGATATATAACACGATAAGGTGCAGAAGTGTGCAGGCAAAATAATACCGGATTAAGCTATGAGTTACAAAATGGGTTGAAAATTGGAAGACGCAGCCTAATGTTGGCAAATGTAAAATCAAATTCTCTTTCGTTGCACAAAACATATATACTGAACACATTCACCTCCGCCATGTTGCTACAGCAGGAGCTCCTGCAATCTTTCAGTGTCTCCTTGGGCCACTTATTCTTCCCTACACTTAATCATTATTAGTTTTATCTGTATCAGCAAGACTGCAGCTTTTTTCTTTTTTTCCCTCTCTTCGTAACCTTAAGCCCCTGTCTGGCGTGAGCAATATATTGGGGTAATTAAGCTCTATTTATTGGCTGGTCTTGGTCACATTCTTTCTAGTTCCTTTTTTTTAATTTCGTTGTCTTCATTTCTTGTTAGTTTCTTTTTTATTAGCTTATTTATTTTCTATATTCATTTATTTTTACTAAGTTTTTTTATAATGCCTCTCATGTTCCTTTTGTTGTTGCTATATGTGTTTACTTTTATTTTTTTTTATTTTCACATGGTTTATCTATATACAAAAAGTGTCTCTGTTTAAAGTAGGTCAGAAACGTAGGGCTATCATTACTCAACTTTCCAATATGAAACATAGAGTGTATGTGAGTGGCACAGACAGGGTGGAGTGTGCCCAAGTGCCACCGTTTAATAAATATCACGTCTATAGTGACCCCTGAAATTTTGATGAAGTCTGAACTAAAATCAAAGAGAAATATAAAAAATCAAATGAAATAAAAAATCGATTTTCGAACTGCTGGAATTTTTTACTCCCTTTAATGTAATTCTGTTCAGAAGGGAGAGAGATTCCGTTTCATGGTTAGTACTGTTCTGACGCTGTTATTTATCTGAAGCTCTCAATTACCTTCTCCCCTTGCACTGCTTTGCCCGTCTCTCTCTCTCTTATTATGAAAACTCGCCTGCGTCATTATCCCATTCATCTCTCTCATTACTCTACAATCATATCTACTTACAAGTCTCGTCTCCGTTATCGTGTGCATGTCTTGAAGATGTGTGTCATGGCTATAGCTGGCCAGTCCGAGGAGTTAATGCCTGCTGCTCATTTGATGTATACATTGACATAAATCCCCCCCACCACCACCACCACACAAGCTTTGATATCTTCTGCCCCGTTTTCATGCCCTCGCGTTGGACGCTAGTGCTGGGGGCCTGATTGATTGCTGCTCTTATCTGCCTACGTCGGCGCACGTGCCTTGCCTAGCTGGCTACACGACGCTCTATGGTCCGCTACACGACGCTCTATGTTCCACTTTCTCCTGTGGTGCGGTGTTGGGCCTCTATTATCGGCTCTTTTTCAGTATTTAAAATCTATAAAAAATGCCTTTCTCGTTGTCTGAAGGTAAATCATCGGAGATTTTATATGGCATGTATGATAGGTGTTTATATACAACACTACTTACTACGAGAACAACATGCCCCCCCCCCCCACCTATGTTGCATAGGGCATTCAATCTCATCACTACGAACAATAATAGACAAGATATCTCTCTTGCAATAATGTGGTTGCAATGATGGATTATCTAGTTATTTTTATTGTCTATTGTTTCTTGTGTATATTTGCACGATTGGGTCATAAATTTGGGTTAGCTGTTACCGGCCTCTCTGTCAGTTCCCTACATGGCCATAGGCAATTGAGGAGCTTGAAGGGTGGAGAGGGAGGTATAGTTTGATGTTAGGTATAAGGCCTATCAGCCTCTGGAGGTTATTAAGGTCACCACAATAGCTTGCTGATCCAACCGGTAGGTATATACCTTGATCTTAAAAATAGTTTACGACCAGTGTAAACCCTATAGGAATATTACACCGGAAAGATGGGGTGGTCCATACGTCCTCCGCTCCCAACCGAGAATATAGGTTCAGGTTAGGGTGGAAGCGAGACATTGGTTAATTGGGTACTTTTCCTTTCACCTGATGCACGTATTCACATAGCAGCAAATAGGTACCTGGGATTAACACAACTGTTGGGGGTTGCATAATAGAGAAGGTCAGTTGTTGGGTTGGAGTGGGGGAGGGAAGGGGAAAGGGGTTTCTCAGCACACCTTACTTGACCATTATGGATACCATGCCATAATGGTCACTTGTACAGAGCACGAAACATCTGGTGATCCGGGTCGAAAGGTCTCTGGTTGTTCCTTGCTGCTCGTACATCTCGCCTCTGCAGCCTCCAGCATAGAATAAACGTACTTAATTATAGCGATTAAACTTTTGCAATTATCGTGACTTGATAATTGCATTCAGCTCACAAAAAATATAATTAACTGAGGCCACGACACAAGAGTACTTAATTGTCGCAGAACATGTATAAGTCAGTCAGACATCCTGCCAGACCTGTCCCTCTGTCGAGAGAGTCTCTACATTAGCTAAACAACCAGTCACCCCTATGGCCACTCTGCCTCTTCGTCCGACATACAGCTAACCCAACCCACTTGTCCAGCTTCCAAAATGTCTCGAAGCATCATACACCAGTCCTCAAGCTCAGGTCGTAAAGGACTGGGGCTCGATACCAGTCCTCAGAGCATCGTAAGGGACTAGGGGGGGCTCGAAGTAGGTTATCTTGAGATGATTTCGTGGCTTAGCGTCTCAGCGGCCTGGTCCTTGACTAGGCCTCCTTTTTGTTAGTCATCCCCCAGGAAGCAGCCCGTAGCAGCTGTCTAACTCCCAAGTACCTATTTACTGCTAGGTAACAGGGACATCAGGGTGAAAGAGACTTTAGGCCCATTTGCCTCCACCGGGGATCGAACCCGAAACCTCAGGACTACGAATACGAAGCGCTTTCCACTCAGCTGTCAGGCGCCTGACATTGTGTACGATACCTGGTTTGTGTTAACCTTGTGTTTAATACATGGTTTGTGTTGCTCATATATTTCATGCCTGCTGACCTAGTGTTAAATACATGAAACTGCAGAAAGAATAACGTAACTGGAGATGAGTGTTATAAGTGTGAGTTATGAAAAACGTGAGTTATAATAAGTGCTATTGATAACGTATTGTGTATTAAAACAGGTTTGTTCTCAAATATTAGTTAATAATAATTCTAATAATAATGTTATTATTATTATATTTAATATACATATATTTATATGAGAAAGGCTGCAGGAACACGCAAGCCACAGATCACTAAGAACTCTATATGACCCGGCCAGGATTCGAACCCATGACGTCCAGGATCACCCCTAAACGTACACATAGTCGATCAATAGTGCTGTGGTCACGGTGCCGTGTAAGTTTAGTGGTGATCCTGGACGTCATGGGTTCGAATCCTGGCTGGGTTATATGGAGTTCTTAGTGAGATTATATATATATATATATATATATATATATATATATATATATATATATATATATATATATATATATATATATATATATTACATTTTTTGTCTCACAGTGATGTTTTTCTGGATTAGTTTGTGTCTCACAGTAATGCTTTTCTTCAGTCTAAGGCCTACGGGGAACACAGCACTGGATTCTTATGTTCAATTGTGCTTAATAACGTTGCTTTTCTGCCGTTATTGCGCTTCAGTGCCTTGTCTATCAACAGCCGCTAGTGATCCGTCCTCGCATAGAGCTTGACGTGCACTGCCTTACACCTGAGGTACTCCTGCGTGCCTTTGATGATGTATACAGCCCTCGTGACGACATTATTGCTCGTTCGCCACTAATTCAAGTCTGTTGAGGGTAACAAGCTGCTTTAGGTTCACTCTGGCGGTGAAATACGAGTGTGTCATGGCAAGCAATTTCTTCAGTCAAATTGTGCTACTTTCTAAATACCTGCATTTGCATAGACTGCCTTTTAGCACAAAGGAACTATAATACGTTAAATGCTCCCCTGTTTATTCAGAGGGATACTCCATTGTCTGTATTGCATTAATGCTCTCGTGCCCCATCTCTTTGCGTAACGTTGCATTCAACTGCATACCACTGTGATGCACCGTGTGTGTGTGCGTGCGCTAGAGCGCTATCATATGTTTGATTTATTGCAAACATTGCCTCAACGTTGCATCATGGAATGTTTGTGATTTACTAACGCACGGGTGTGATGAGCAGCAAACACACACACACACATCGAGGCCTCGTTGTTTACATACTTTCACTGCAGATCAACCCCCGGCCTACGTATTATAATATGCTCAGACATGAATACTGAGGAAATTACTGAACAATAACTAGGTGTGATAACCTTGAGAAGGGTGAAGGAGCTATAGCAGCAGCAGAAGGAGCAGCAGCACATGCTCTCCAAGCCCTCAATAGCGCCAAGGGTAAAGAGAAGGGTTTACGTGTGATGAAGAGCACGTTCTCTTCAGCCCTGGTATCACCTACCTCTGGGGGTCAAGTCTGACAGCCTTGCCGGACACTCACACACACACACACAATGCTTGCCCCCCACTACTGACCCCCACTCCCCTACCCACCTCCTTCACCCCTCACCCCTTGTAGGCTAGGAAGAACACACACACAAACACACACACACGCAGTTACAGTCAGGTTGGCCGAGTGGTCTAAGGCGCCAGATTTAAGCTCTGGTACTCGCAAGAGTGCGTGGGTTCGAACCCCACACCTGACACAGTGTAAGGTTTTGGAGGTAGACTCCATACATAGTTTCAAATGTAGATATGATAGAGCCCAATAGGCTCAGGAATCTGTACACCAGTTGATTGACAGTTGAGAGGCGGGACCAAAGAGCCAGAGCTCAACCCCCGCAAACACAACTAGGTGAGAACAACTAAGTGAGTACACACACACACACACACGCGCGCACGCACCTACACATGCACGCAAACTCAAACATGCGCACGCACACACACAATCAACATGCACACGCAAAACTTATAACTGTCTTGGAGTTTGTCGACTATACAAAACATATTTATTTTTAGTTAATTGTTAATTATTTTCTTCATGTCATTTTCATAAATTTATTTGAAACTCACATTAACAATACAAATTATTAGACACCTCATCCACAAAACTGAAAACATTGGAAGTGCGGAGATATTGGTCAGTCCTGATAATGGTCGAGGACTGACTGAAACGTCGCCACATGGGGAGATCCCAGGAAGGCCCGAAACGTTGTCTCATAGGGGGTCCCAGAATGGACCGAAACGTCGTCACATAAGGAGGTCCCAGTAAGGAACGAAACGTCGTCACATAGGGGTAGCAGTAAGGGCCGAAACGTCGCCACAAAGTGGGGTACCAGAATGGATCGAAACGTCGTCACTTCGTGTATTTTCAGAAGGGGTAGGTTGGGTGTCTAATTTTCAGCTCTGTTATTATGACTGTAATACATAATAATCATATAATATATAAGGAATTATATATTATGTTATATTATATAAGGAATTATTGGCTTTATAACAGAACAATTGTTCTCTTGATAAAAACAGTATTGTTAACTGCTAACAACAGGGGTTAACAGCAGTGTTGTTAACTGCTAACAACAGGGGTTAACAGCAGTGTTGTTAACTGCTAACAACAGGGGTTAACAGCAGTGTTGTTAACTGCTAACAACAGGGGTTAACAGCAGTGTTGTTAACTGCTAACAACAGGGGTTAACAGCAGTGTTGTTAACTGCTAACAACAGGGGTTAACAGCAGTGTTGTTAACTGCTAACAACAGGGGTTAACAGCAGTGTTGTTAACTGCTAACAACAGGGGTTAACAGCAGTGTTGTTAACTGCTAACAACAGGGGTTAACAGCAGTGTTGTTAACTGCTAACAACAGGGGTTAACAGCAGTGTTGTTAACTGCTAACAACAGGGGTTAACAGCAGTGTTGTTAACTGCTAACAACAGGGGTTAACAGCAGTATTGTTAACAAGAGTAAGGGGTTAGAAGGAGTACCGATAGTATACAGTAAACATAAATAACCGGTTTAACCAGAGAGACTGAGCTCCAGAGGTGATTCCAGCCCGTTGTTAGTGTATCAAAACCTACACAGCCGGATAAATGAATCGATGCAGTTCCTTAGCCGGATCCTGCAGTGTAAGTAAGCATAGAACACTTGTGACTATTATAGGAAATCTTGATGGAATTTCGACGCCATGTTGGGGGGAAAGATGGTGTCGAATTGGGATGGGATGCCCCGTCCCATCCCAAATTCTTTTCTAGACCCCTTCTCCAGTGCTATATAGTCATAATGACTTGGCGTTTTCTCCTGAGAATTCTTGTCTTGGGGTGGGAAGGGGGGTTGGGGGTGCTTTTGCCGCGCCTATGACGTAGGGAACCCACGCTAACGAGCCTCCTATCTGAAATTAAACGACGGGGATGCAAATCTGGCTTTCGGATCTGCTCAAGCGTTCGTGTAACGTATATACGGTCGCCTCCCGGTCGTATATTCAGCCCTTATCGTTATCTAGCGTCGCCCGCGTTCCGTGTCTCTTCCACTTTCTTTGTTGAGGGCCCGTGTTCACTTCATCTGGGACCGATCGTGGCCCGTGTTCTGCTCAGTGTATTTCATTTCTGGTCGTTGTTATCGCGTGTTCCCCCCCTTTTATCTCGGTGTTCCTAGAAGTTGCATTTCTCTTGCCTGCTGCTGCGATGCTGTCGTTATCCATCTCGATAGTGCTCTGACCTTTCAACCCTTGAGTTTTCTTATTGATCAAAGTTTTAGATACATTTTCTCTCTCTCTCTCTGTCTCTCTTTGTACGTTATACTGCGTATTATCAGCTCTCCCTCTTCTTTAATGGTACCTTTCTCCCTCCACTGCCTTCCATGGTAGCCTTGTACTCTGATATGGTATATGCAATTCAATTAGAACGTGAGTGTACTGTCTTTTCTCTAGTATTGTCAACTCCTCTGTACTGTCCTCTGTCTCCCTTTTCATTAATGCTACTGTGTTTCTCCACGCTGTATTGCTATCCACATATTATATTTTCTATAGAGGGCTTTGGGCCCATATTGTATATCTCGACAAGACATATAATTAGATTATCCTAGTTTTATTGCACTTTCTCTTTGTAAATGTATTTTTTTCCCTAAAACTTGCTACATACACACTCACGTTGCTTTGTATTCGATAATATGTTTAATGGTTTAATTTGATTTGGAACCCGGAGAGATATTTGGTGATTCCAACTGTCGCTAAGCATAGTTATCACATACTGTGCTTCCCTCTTTATGTATTTGCAGCATTTATACAGTTCTTCGTTTGAATGCGGATTTGGTGTTCGATTTTAAAAGGGGATTTTGAGACACGTCTTTTATTTCGTTTGACACATAAACAGCTCAACATCTCTGGGTTTCACAGATGTGAAGTTTTTGGTTTCACATTTGTAAAGCTCTGGGCTTCGTAGAAGTAAAGCTCTGTGTTTATTAGATGTAAATAACCTGTTTTCTCAGATGAAAAACTCTGAGTTTTCCAGGTATGAAGCTCATTTATGAAGCTGAGTGTTTCACAGCTGTAAAGCTCTGGGTTTCACATATGTGTTATAGTTGAAATCAAGCGTTGCTATCAACAAGTCAAATTTAGTTTAAAAATAACTTTCACTCAAATGTTCACTTGATTGAAATATATTTTAAAATACTGAACTAAACGAAGCAGTTTGACCTAACTTAAAGAGGCAGAACATTTCTCAATGCTGTCTAGCATAGGTAAGAGTTGGTCAAAGTTACAAACTAATTTTTTTAAGATATTATAATTAATTGCAAACTGAATCTAAAAATTGCATTTGAAAATAATCAAAATTGTACTGGCTATTAGACGAAAAGTTCTCAGCTTATTAGGCCAGGAAATACGGTTTTAGGATTATATATATATATATATTATATATATAAAGGAGTTTCAACATGAATTATTTACAAGCCACATCCCAGTTATACATAATTCAAAGACATACACCACCACCATTCACCGAAACTCTGATTATAAAATAAATTTGATTGCTCTCCCACTCAACCTTTTGGCTCAAAACAAAGGAACAAAAGAAAGCAATTAGCACCTGCTCAAAACGAACAATGTTGAGGTATCAGAGGAAGAATGAACCCAAGTCCAACCCGGACGGGATCGATACCCGTGGGACTTGTATATTGTCTGTGGCTGGGTCTTCTCCGGCAGGTCTGCCCAAGGAAAGTCCGGCTCCCCAAGACTGCTGCTGGTTCCTCAAGGAGAGGTCTTTGATTATCAGTAGGAGCTCCTTGATCATCAATAGGAGCTCCTTGATCATCAATAGGAGCTCCTTGATCATCAATAGGGGGCTCCTTGATCATCAATAGGGGCTCCTTGATCATCAATAGGGGCTCCTTGATCATCAATAGGGGCTCCTTGATCATCAATAGGGGCTCCTAGATCATCAATTGGAGCTCCTTGATGAACAAGAGGAGCGTCTTGCAGTCTTCTATATTCATGCAGCTAGTTTTTCTTGTTCTGGCAATGAGTGTATAAGTGCTGCTGATCCACACAGTAAGTGTTCCTTATCCATACATTAAGTGCTCCTGATCCACACAGCAAGCACTCCTGGTATACACAGTGTTTCGGATCCACATAGTAAGTGCTTCGTATCCACATAACTAGCGCCCCTTATCCACACAGTAAGTGCTGGGTAGCCACACAGCAAGTGTTCCTGATCCACACAGTAAGGTGCACCTGATCCCTGACACATTACCGGTCAGAATCTCCGACGCTTGAAATCGGAAAGTCACGAGATCAGGTTCATTCCTCCTGGTTCTAAGGCTCCTGATTCCTGCGGTTCTTTTTTTCCTCTGAACCAGTAAGCAAAATCCTGAAGTCATGACTTAGGAACACGCCCTCTTTTTCTTCCCTCTTTCCCTCTCCTTCTCTCCTACTACATCTAATTCTTCATCTCTCTCTCTCTCTCTCTGTCTATTCATTTCAATTATTTTTCTTTATCTCTATGCTTCTATTCATGCCCGTCCCCATTCTTCTTTCATTCACTATTTCTCCTTCGTTCTACTATTCCTTCTCTTTCCCATTCCGATGTTGTTCATTCTCTCTTTCTTTATTAACTTCCACCTTTCCTCCCTCGTCCCACTCTCCTTTAATTACAATATTACATCATATATATATATATATATATATATATATATATATATATATATATATATATATATATATATATATATATATATATATATATATATATATATATATATATGATGTAATATAAGACCAATGATGATTTTCTGTTCCTTTGATACAGACAAGATCGGTATACTAAGTGACTTGAGGCGTCTTTTGTCTTTTGCATTTGTTTTAACGCATATATTAGCAGATGTTTTACTCTAATGCTTATTTTAACACTTGTTTTAACACTTGTTTTGATTATAGTTCTCTATGTAATCAAATTGGTGTTGTGTCAATTTCGTACGGTGTCTCTTCCACTTTTATAATGATCCGTCTTATTCCCTTTTCCTCAGTTTTTTACTACCTATTTATCTTTGTCATTCCCCTTTTCCTTCTACTCTATCTAGCAATCCTCTTTTCTTATCCGTAAATCTTCTATACCGCCCGTTCTTGTCCCCTTTTCACCCGTTCCCTTTCTCTCTACCGGCCTTTTCCATTTCACTCTCTCTCTCGTTGCCTCCTCTTTCTGCTTCCTCCAATTCATCT